GGGGCGGCCCCGCCACGGCTCGGAGCGGGAGGCGGCGCGGCCGCAGCGGCCGCCATGCAGCCCTCGCGCCGCGCCCCGGCGCTGCCGCCGCTCCTGCTTCTGGCCGCCGGTGAGTGCGAGCCCCGCGTCCTCCTCCTCCGCATCCGCGCACGGCCGGGACCCCTCGGGACCCCTCCCCGCTCCCGGGTCGCCCCCATGCCCCCGGGTGCTGCGTCCCCGCTGCGTGCCGCGCGTTGGGGTGCGCGGGTCGCGGCGCCCCGGGTGGGGTGGGAGCCCGCGGGGGGACGGAGGGAGCGCGGGGCGGCCGCTGCGGTGCAGGAGCCGCGGTGCCCCCGCTGCCCCGGGCCGCCTTCCCCCCGCTTTGAGCCGCCTCTGGCCCCGCCGCTGTTTCAGCGGCCGCTGCAAAAGCCTCGGCGGGGAGAGGGGGGACCTCAGACCGCGCCGTGCCCCCCCCGGGAGCCCCGCGCTGGAATGTGGGGGAGCGGTGGGGCGCGCGTGCGGGGCGGCCAAGCGCGGCAGTGCCGGTGCTGGAGGAGTTAGGAGGCCCCTTGGGGAAACTGCCCAACAAAGAGACCCCTCAGAGACCCAGCAGGCTGCGATCGCCCTCTCCCTCCCCGCCTTCCCTACAGGAATCTGCTTGGAGAGAGGCTTTGGATGGGGATGCTTAAAAGTGTGGGGGAGTCTTTGTCTTGAGCAGCTCGGTTGGGAGGCAGGGCTGCCTCTCGCAGCGTGGCTGAGCGGTGCCACATCCAGCTCCCCCCACGGCTGCCCCATCACCCCCATCTCCCAAAAAGCTCCCATGGGAGACGTGTCGGCTCCGCGGGGCTGCTGGCCGGAGCTGTGTGTTCGGCGCGGGGCTCCCCACGCTCCCTGAAGACAAGGGGTAGAGCCTTTAGGTTGGTAAACAATGGGGAGCTTATAGAGCAAAATGGATCCAAAAATCCCTGTCGAGGTCTTGTGCCAGCGCTTTGTGGCACAGAAGCACCGCGTCTTTCCCGAGTGAGCGGGAAGCCGCTTTGTGGCATCCCCGAGGCAGGCTGTCGGTGCCGGGGAAAACGGCGGGCGCAGCCGGCAAAGGTCCCTGCACGCGACTCAGTGGGAAACCTGCACGGCCGACTGTACCAGAGCGGCTGTGCCCGACCGGTGCCGCCTCTGCAGAGGGGACAGCGGCCTGGGGAGGAATCGTGTCCCCCTGGCCCCTCTACGTGAATGTAGCTTGGAAGTGACATTCCTTTTGTGGAGGAAGGAGAGGCAACGACCGCGCTGTTGTTTTAAAGTCTGGCGGCCCGAAGGATCCAGCTGATGCTGCTTGGCCGAGGGGAGGGTGTTTCTTATCCTGGAGATGCTGCTGGAAACTCTCTAGCGCTGCTGTGCAGCTGGTGAGGACACCGAGGAGCCGGGTCCTCGCGCTTCGCTGTGGTCCTCAATCCTCTCCTAGCAGGATGCCATACAGGGGTGGGATGGGAGGGCTCAGTTCTTAATCCAGTGAAGTTGATAATCCTGGGGGGCTGTGGGGGCTCTGGGCGCACCCAGTTGGCCAGGTGCCTCCAGGGACCCAGAGTCCCCCTCAACTGGAGGTTGGGAGCGAGGATGAAAACTTCTGGGCATTTTTTGGAGCTCCCCGTTTTGGTCAGCAGCCCTGAGCTCTGCTCGGCAGTTTGGGAACTGTTCCAGTCTGGGATATTTCAGTGCGCTCTGGCCTCGCTCCTGCGGTCGGTTCAGACCTGCAGCTGAGCGCGGGCGCCGCGGGATGCCGTGTGTCCCGGCGGGAGCCTCCCGGGCGCGGGAGCGTCGCAGCTGCGGGACGGGCTGCAGCGGGACGGGACGTGCGCCCGGCCACCGGCGGGTCCCCTGGCAGAGCGCAGAGACGCCTCTCACCCAGCGGTTACGTCTCTGCCTTTGCGAGTAGGAAAATGATGTGGTTAAGAGCTGGGAGAGAAGGGAGGGAATCGGGTCTTTTCCCTCGCCTTGTCTCCCCAGGTGCTAGTCTGCATGTGGGCTGCTAAGGAAGTTTTTTCCTTCTGCCCATGTAGACGATTTCTCGTTAGCACCGTATGAACGAGCCCGAACTGAGCGGATATAAATCAGGATGGATGCAAATTCCCTGCAGTCAAGTTTGCCTTGGCCTCTTCAGTGCCATAAGGAAATGTTCACTTAATTATAGGCATCAGGGGTAGAAATAACTCCATTAAGCCCCCGAGGGGAGGCTGCAGGCGCCGAGCTGCAGATCAGAGCGCAAAAAGTTTTGCTTTTTTCCCTGCGCTCGGTGTGGGAAGCGGCTCCGGCGTTTTGTGGGTACGTAAGCGAGGGGCAGCAGCGAAGGCGGCCGTGCCGCGGGGCTGCGCGAGCGAGGAAGGTGCAGGACTGGCACCCGTGCCTCGCTGCTGCTGCAACGCGTAATCCCCAATGAACGGAGAGCGGCCCGGGCAGAGGCGAAGCGGCCGCTGCGCTGCTGTGTTTGGAGGGATGGGGATGGAGGTGCCGCCGGCGCTGCTCCTGCGGGTACCGGCGTTCGGATGGATGTTCCTGTGTGGACCTGTGTGCCAGCAACGCGCGGGACCGGTGCTGTTCGGCCGGGTGGAAGCGTGGGGAAGGCGGAGGCTTGGAGCGAGCGGGTGCTTCAGGTGTCAGCAGCGGGGGCTGCAGCAGGTCATGAGCCGGGGTTGCCCGTGGTGGGTTTGGAAGCCCAGCAGGGCCGTGGGTGGCGTTGGGCGTGTGGCCGGAGCGCTCGTGCTGCGCAGGCAGCCGGGCCCGGCAGGGCAGCAGCCGTGGGCTGCGCTGGGAACGGGGCAGAGCAGTGCGGGTCGCGGGGACCGAGGCCTGCGGAGGGGACGATTTTTCCCAGCTGATGGCTGAAATGCAATGGGCCTGTGAGAGGGCTAAGCAGCCTGTGGTGGGGTGTTTTATTTGTTTATTTTGGTGTTTTTTTCCCCCTCCTTTAGATCGCTGTTTCCTCCTGTGGCCTGTTACCCCGGGCGCCGGTGGGTGGCTGTGGAAGGTGACTGCTGACAAAAGCAAATTCACTTTTGCTGCGTGCAACTGCCTGTCCTGATGCTGCCGCGACCGGCTCGCGCGGGGCCCGTTCCGCGCTGACGTGGGGTGCATTGAGCACGGGGACAGCGCTGCCATTCGCAGGGACAGCAGCCCTGGCTCGTGCAGGCTCTCGGGGCCGGGTGTTTGCACTGCCGGGGGGCAATGGGGACAACCTGGTTATGGCCAGAGGTTATGGTTGGCGCCCAGCGCATGTGGGTGCTGGTGGAGGATGGGCTGGCTGTGCCTTCCTGAGCAGAAACAAGCAGAAACGAGCTGAATTCCCAGGCAGCGGGACCCGGGAGAGCAGCGGGGCTGCCTGGGGAGCCGGAGGAGCTGGAGCTGGAGCTGAGGAGCTGGAGGGAGGTGCCTCCCAGCACGAGGGCGGCCCGTGACTTTGGATCAGCACTGGGATGACAGGTGGTACCTGGCTGTCCTGGGCGCCTCCCACGCAAGCAGCCGAGTGTCTAGAGGGGCAGAGGTGCCAGGTGAGAGACGGGAAGGGAGCTGGGACGTCCTTCAGCGGAACCATGTGAAGTTTCTTCTCTTCCTGCAACATCTGTGCCCGGGATCCTTTTTATTATTTAAATTAGCCCCGTGTTTTGTTATGTGCCGCATCGGTTAGTGCCGTTGGCCGCGCTGCCCCTGGGCCCCTCTCCTCGCTGCCCTTGGCCCTTGCACTCCGGCCTCTGCAGGCGCGGGGCCGGCGCAGGGACCATCCCCGGCAGATGCTTCCCTCATCTGGTCATTGTGTTTCTGTCCTAAGTGATTATCGGTAAATGACCCATTCCTGACCCAGCTCTCCTAGGGAAGAAGTGTTGGACAACTCCTGGGTTCGGGGTAGGCTTGCGAGCAAGGTCAGCGGTAGCGGGGCCGCATGGACGTTAGTGCAGCTGCTGCCCAGGGCGGGCAGCGGCTGCTGCCCCTGTCGCCGCTCGCCCGCTTGGGCAGCGTCGCTTCCCGCAGGGAACGACACCTGGTCCTGCTGCAGGGGCCGGCGCTGCTCCTGGGTCCCCTGGGCTGCTCCTGCCCCAGGCTGCTCCTGCCGCGGTGGCAGCGCTGCCAGAGGCGCCGCGGCCGGGCGGGTTTGCAGGGAGAGCCCGGCGAGACCGCAGCCCCGCGCCGGGCTCGGCACAATGCCGAGGGCTTGGGGGACATGCGTGTGTCTCCTTGGAGAGAAAACGCAGGTTTACTTCTTAATTAAAGAGCAAGACGTTTTTAAAAGCTGCTTGACACTTCCACAGCCAGATTCCATTTCAGCTCCACAAATCCCTACTCTCAGTTCATCTGGATGCAGAAATAACTTATTTCCTCTTTCGCTTCTGGTCCATAGGCCGATTGGGAGCTGTTAAACAGCTGTGCCGGCCCGTGGAGAGGTGCCTTGCCTTCTGCTGAAGGATAAAGCGGTTCTTGGTTCGTTAATGTAGAAGATGCTTTCGGATTCTTTCAGAATCTTTTCGAAATGCAGAATAGTTCTTATTCACTGCAGTCTAGGAGATGGCAGATAATTTCTCCTTAGATGCCTGGGTCTAAGGGCTTGACATCTGCTGCTGAGCAGAGCTCCTGCGTCTGCCTTGGTTGGACATCGCCGCCGCTGCTGAGCTTGGAGCTGCAGATGTTTTCTGAGGGGCCGCTGCAACCCACAAGCTCATTTCATGGCTCTGCCAGACCCCAGCCTGGTTCTTTTTCCCGTGGTCTTGGAAGGGGAGCCCCGCAGCGCTATTCCCTGGTGTTTAAACCAGCCCTTTGCACTGCGCGTGGAGGTGACCGTCTTTCCCGAGGTGTGACCTCCGGGGTGCCTGGAGAGCTCCGGAGCTCGCAGCCGACGCGGGAGCTCCGGCGCCAGGTTTGCTGCTCGCTCCCTGCCTTTGTTCCCTCTCCCCGCTCCATTTCCCTCTTCCACTTTCTCGCCTTTCGCACCCTGCTCTCTCTGTGCTGGGGCTGCTTCTGCCTCCTTGCCCGGCTCTTTCCCCCAAGGCTTCCTGCCCTCTTTAGCATGCACAGCCTCAACTCCTCCAGGTTACGCAGAGGTGCCGCAAAAATAGAAACGAGAGACAAACGCCCCATTGAAGCAGCTGGTGAGCCTGGCTCCCTTCCCTGCTCCCTCCCATTTACATTTGCAAGGTTTTATTTGCTTGGGTTTCCATTTTTTTATTCCCCTATTGCTGGATCTGACTTTTAGGACACCGGACCAGGAGGCCGATGGCAAATGGAAGTTGCCGGACCCTGTTGCCATCCTAGGAGGACACCCTAGCCGCAGATTTTTGGGTCTCTGCTGTGCCCCCCTGCTCCCAGCTGAGCTCCTGCTTCGATTCTTTCTCTGCCTCGGCGCTGGCAGCTGCGCCGAGCTCCTTTGTGCGATGCTCGGGGAGGGTGGCAGCGCTTGGGGCTGCTGTGCGGCCCAGGGCTGGCCCCGCTGCTGGTGCAAAAGGTGCAACACGCCACAGGGATGTGGCCGGAGAGGGACCACGCGCTGGTGCAACAGCTCTGCTGACCCCGTGGCCTTCAGGCTCCTCCCGGTCAACCCCGGCATCCCTATGGATCACATCCCGAGGTGTCATCCTCCCCTTTCCCCTGCCATGGAGAAAGCTGGTCTGCTCAGGCTGTCTCTTGATGGCTGCCCTGTGACGGTGTCGCTTTATCTGGGGCTGAGGAGCGCAGAGCATCCCGGTAAACAGGATAATGCAGCTTAGGGCTTTTAAACTGGGTAAACACTTCAGAGCTAAAAGAGGGTAAGCAAACTCGGAGGAGCCGAGTGTCCCGCGCGGGGGGATTAGCTCTCCGGCGCCCAGGTTCATCCGCCGCGACGTGGCACTTGTGGAGGTGCGGGACGGGTTGTGGCTGAGGTTTGGGGACAGCCCCGACGGATGGAAACCAAGAGACTTGTCCCAGGCTTTGGAGCTGGGGCAGGGTTTCTATTTCACAGCTTTTCCCTTTGCCCAGGTGGGTGGGAGACTTGGGTTGTGACGTGGCTGCAAAGATGGACAATCCATCGGCCAAGTCTCTGCTAGCAGAGGTGAGAGGAAGCTGAGGTATCTGGGTGATGAAGAGCTAAGAAGGATCCAGGCAGTCAATTGTCACCCAAAAGCTTCCATGTTCTTCAGTAGAATAAACCAACAAGACTGAGAAGTGCTGAAGGACTCAAGAGAATGTGGGGAACCAAGGTCAGAGTGGGAAGAAGGCTTGAGAAGGCCTTTCTGGGCCTCCGTGGTTCCCAGGGCAGGTCTGGTGACCAGCCCGCTGGGTGAGCAGCGATTCCCAGGTTTTTCACACCAACAAGCCCATGTTTCCAGTGTTTCCAGTGCACACATGAGGTCCAGTCCACCGACCACCTCCCCACAGCTCCCTCTGCACCTGCCCTGCTTTGAATTCTTCGTCCCTCGGGGACCAGGAGATGTACACGGCAGCAGAAGGGTTTCTGGTCCGTGCCCTTGCCTGAGGGCAGATTCCGCTCTGCCTGAACCCTTGCAGGCCACGTGTTTCCAAACCTGCGTGCAGGATCCAGGTGAGGACTCGGCAGTGCTTGCAAAAGGCATTAATAGCTCATTTTTCTAATACTTTGGGATTATGCATGCGTTTTCACAACAGCATTCCGGTGATAGCTCAGAGCCATTCCCAGTATAGGAATTTCTCCCCCGAAGATCTCTCTAATGGATAATTTCTTATCTTATAGCAGGAATGTCTGTTGTTAATTCCCAAGATGATGACTTGGTATTATTTCTTTTCATACCATTTCTGTGTTTTCCATCCTCAAGATCACCTAGCTCTATCTACAGTCTTCCCGTGAAGCAAAGATATCTCCTCGCTTTGTGTCTCTGGCTAATTTCATTATCACGGTCCTAATTTTCATGCCAAGGTCACTTAGGAAAATATTAGAGCTGATGAGTTCCAAGGGCCGACCTTGAGGAATGCCACTAAGAGCCTCCCTCCAGCTCCAGCCCCTGTCGTTTTCCCTATAGCTGATGCCTTGCAGCTTTTCTATTCATCGCTCTCTTCTCTTGCTTCTCTTGTATCTGATATTTCTCAATATCAGATATTTTACCGAGTTCCAGATAGATCTACTGCATTTTCTTGTTAGAAAGTTATCAAAGGAAGTTAGGAAATGAGTCTTCATTTCAGTTTATTCAATTAGTTCAGTTCAGTGGCTAGTTCATTAAAAATTGAGAAAGTTGCTATGACCTGAGAGAGCAGGAAAGCTTCTCTCTTTTCTTTATTTCTTTCCCTTTTATTCCCTTCTGATCTGCAAATAAAAATCACCTATGAGGGGATGAGATCTAGCTCTTATGTACAGAAGAGCTGAGGGCCAGGAAGCAACTACTTTGTTCACTGACTGCAGGTGGTTATTTCTCTTGCTTACCAAAACTATTTTAAATTGGTAAATGTCTCTTTTTTTCCCCCCCCTTATCTCTCCATGTTTATGATGGTATTTATCAGATTTATCAGCTGAATAAAGCCAAGTTTCCAGTGCTTTTTTCCTGCATTTTAATTGAATATCAGTATGCATGTAAAGGTACCTTGACACAAATCACAAAATCTCATCGAGGAAACAAGAAATGTCAGCCAAGCTTTCTAATATAAGAAAAAAATTGAAACCCCGGGTTTATAATTGTTTAATTCTGCTAAGAATTACCCATCTTTCTGCTCAGTTTTAGGTAGATGTATTTGCTATTAGTGTATTTTAATTCTTGCCAGAGGCAGTCAGCCCTTGCCCATGGAAAGAAAAAATGTGAGTGCTAAATGAAGTTCAAATGAATGGCTCGGAATTAGATTGTTAGCTTGCTGATTTAAAATGTGATTAAATTTGGTGATCTAAACAAATTTGGTTTAATCAATCTCCCTGCATATGAAATAGGTCCAGATCAGGAACTCGTGATTGCGTGGCAATGAAATAAAAAGTTTTGTTGAACTTGCAGAGCGAGAATTTCACGCCTTACGTGCAGACCATGCCACCTACCCCCCAGGATGGGTGATTATCGAGGCACCCCCGTCTTTCCAAGAGCAAAAAGTGTCCGAAAGGACAAACCATCCGTGCCGTGCTGAGCAGAGGTGCCCGGGGCTGCGTACGGGTCTGGCCCTGGATGCCATCCCTGATGCGGCTTTGCTGTCGTTGCCCAGGGACCTGGTGCCTCTGCCTCGCCTCCTCAGAGGAGCCCACCGCCGACGGCCTCACTTCCACCTCCCTGCTGGAGCTGGCCGTGATGTCCCACCTGGAGGCCCTGAATTCCCAGGAACAGCCCAGCCCCGAGGCCCCGGAGGGCGAGCTCGGCCCCGGCACCCTGCACGCCGCCCCGGGATCCGGCTTTGCCAGCGAGGAGAACGAGGAGTCCAAGATCCTGCAGCCCCCGCAGTACTTCTGGGAGGACGGGGGCGAGCTCAACGACTCCAGCTTGGACTTGGGACCCGCAACAGGTAGGTCCCGTTTTCACCCCCTGCTTCTCCTCTCTGCTGGGGCTCTGGGGAGGCGGAGGGATGCGGGGATCTGTTTTCCTGCTTTGACACGACTCTTGCTAGGAGGGCCTGAGATTAAACGTCAGCTCTGTTTTATCACCTCAGTGCCTGACGTGTCCCCAGTGAACCCTGAGCAAGCACAGGCTTTAGAAAGCAAGTTACAGCTCAGCCTTTATTCCTGAGCTGCTGCGAAGTTCCCTGAGCTGGGAGAAGTTTCAACTTCTGCTTCCTGTTGTTTGAGTTATCCCCTTCTTTCTCTCTGTCCTTCCCCCTTTTATTCTCTTTATTCTCCATTCTCACTCCGTTTTTACTGCTGCTGTCCATTAAGCACCGCCTGAAGGTCTCAAGTCCCCAGCTGAGAGGTCAAGGCCATCTCAGGATTTGAGTCCCAGCTGAATTCCCAAGGTCAAATTCGGGATTTCTCATGCCCTGGCTGTAGTGGGGACTTGATCCAAGTGAAGACAGCAGTTTTCCCCGTGGGGTTGCTGTCCAGCTGCCCTGTCCTGTCCACTCCTGGGGAGCCTGGACCAAAATGATCTTCACGAGGTGTTTGAACTTTTTTTCTCCATGGAACAGTTTTGGATGTTGGTCCCTTGGTGCTCTTCCCCTGAGCCTCTCAGAGGGATGGAAGGAAAAAGGGGATGTGTTTGCAGGGTTTCAAGGAGCTTAGGAGATTGCTCTGCGTGTTCCCGCAGCGAGTGTCACGCGAGGCAGGTATTAGGTGTTACCTGCGCGCGAGCTTCAGCCTGATCCCTCCTCCCTATCCGGTGTCGCTGCCTCCCTCCCAGCAGCTCTGCCTGAGGTCTGGAATTAGAAGCACAAGTCCTGTTTCAGCCCTATCTTCCCGCCCGTTTCCGTGACTTTGCGGAGGCCTGTGCGTGCGGCGCTAACAGGCCGCGCTGGGGCCACCACGGGCCCGGCCGAGGTGACGAGGACTTTGCTCCCCGGTGCTGCTGCTGGACTTGCCCAGCTGCTGCTGTCCCGCTGCTCGTGCGGCCGGGAGCACTCGGAGGTCTGTCCGGGAGCACTCGGGGGTCTGCCGGGATGCTCCGCGGCGATACCGCTGCCGGATGATGCTTGTTCCCGGCGGCGCATCCTCGGGACAGGCTCATCCCTGGCTGCTCTCCGGCCCCGGCAGCGCGCTCAGCGGTGCTTTTATTTGCGTGCCAGCAGGCACCTGCGGGCGCCGGCCGTGACTTGGAGCGCAGCGGGCGCTTGTGCATTGAGAGCGGGACGCTCCGGGCGCCGAGGCCGCCTCGCCTCTTGCACGTGCCGCGCGGCATCGCCATGCGGAGCACGCGCCGCGCTCCTTCCGCTGCTGCCCGCCGTGCCTCCCAGCACGAGCAGATGGGAGCTTTCCGCTGGGCTCCGTGCGGACCTTCCCACTGCAGCACCGCAAGTGCCGGCGTCCCCGGCCGTCGCCGTGTCCAGGGCGCCCTGCTCAGCGCCCTTTCAGGACCTTGGTTAATAGACCACTCTGAATTATTCAACAGCTGGGAGCGCATTTCTGCTTAAAATTTAATTAGAAACCTTCTGTGTGTCGTTTTACAATAAAAGATATTGTAATAGCATCCCTAAATTGGGCAGCCCGCTCCTGTCGGGCCAAGTCTGTCCATCAGAGCGATGCGCTCGCCCAGTGGGTCTTTCTTGCTGCGTGTGTGGCAGATGCCATGTGATACCTCGTGGAGCTGTGTAATGACATCTGTTAGGTTATTTTCAAAAGCATAAATCCATTAAGCAATTTCAAACAGTCATTATTAAAAAAAAAAAAGAAAGATGCAAGTTCTCCTTAAGTCGGCTTTCTGTCCAAGTGACAGTGGCATCTAGGCTGTCCCAGCTGCTTGCTCTGCCCCAGGCACCGCTCGGAGACCCTGAATCAATCAAGGTGCCAAACAGGATTGTTACACTCCCAGAGAGAGAAAATACCCTGCTTTGGAGAGACCTGTAGTACCGGGCTCCTTTCCCTGCTTGGCTTAAAGATCCTGGCCTTGGGATTGATGGTCGTGGTGCAGACTGGCCGGATCTCCCGAGGTTCCAAAGCTGCATTAGTCACCTCTCTTTTTCCGCGGTCCCTCTGGAGCCTGTGCGAGGAGCCCGCTCTGCCTTTGTGCAACGTTGCAGCCTGTGGGAGCTGTGAAGTCAGACCGCTCTGCAGCTGCCGTGCTCTTTTCTTTAAGTGCTTTCAAACATCCTTTAAAACTAATTCTGGAAAACATGGGGCATCTAGGGCCACCTGTTAGTCCATTAGGAAGTGCGAATGAATTCCCGCTGGCTGGACGCAGCTCAGCCCGGGGCTCCCTCTTGAATAATGTGTTTCTGCTGCCTTCTGCTGCAGAGCGGTACATCTGTGTTGACATCAGGGAGTGCCGGCCTGTGAAAGGACCCTGGGCTCTGTCCTGCTCTGTCTGCGAGGGCACAGAGGTGCACGTTTGTGTGGGGCTACCCCGCTGGGCTGCCCTGGCTTGGCTGTTCCTGCGCTGCTGCAGGAACAGGGTGTTCCTGGAATGTTCCAGGAGTGTTCGGGAATAGTGGGATCCAGGTGCCATGGGTGTGTGGGTGCCGCCTCCTTAGGGAAAGACGCGGTGAGTGATTCCCAGCTCAGATCAGGGGAGCTGTGAACCTGCCACATCTGCATCCCGCTCCTCTGGGGCTTCCAGGGAATCCGTAAACTGCTCAAGTCGTAGTCTGAGTTTGGCTGCTGCTTCTCACCTCTTCTATGAAATTGGCCTGAGCCAGGGTCAGTCCTGGGAGGAGATGAGGACTTGTGCCTGGTGTTTCTTGCTGTCCTTCTCCTTCTTCCCATCTTGCCCATCTTGTTTTGCCTGGAGGCTCTGATCCCCCTCATTTCCATCGGAGACGTTGACGTCTTTTCCAGCTTCAGGCATAGAAGGGAATCCTCATGGCTGCTGGTCCCTACAAGGAGCAACTGCCCCATCTCCCTCGTCCCTCATTTTGGTGAAGGAGGTGCTGTGGTGCTTGCAGCCTGACGTAGTCCCTGCTTTGCACATCCGTGCTCCCCCTTGGCTCAGTCAGAGCCCAGTGTCCCTCAGCTTCCTCCTCCAACCGAGCCCATGGGCTTAATCCCTAGTGGGAAGTGGAGTATCCTGATAAGTGATCCAAGACCTGGGAGAGGTGGCAAGGGAAGGCTCTGTCCCTTCCTTGCCCGAAGGATTGGAGGGCATCATCAGGTCTTTGCAGCGTGGTGGTGGGCTGGCTTGAAGCTCATTTCTGGGCTGCTCTATTAGCTCCAGGGTTGTGCCTTTGAAGCTCCAGGCATAGCTGTGCTGGGAGCTGGCAAATCCAGACTCATGAGTTGGGAATTTACTAGGGTGGCATGTGGCCACCCTAGAGAGAAAAAAAAAAGTAATCTTTTAATTATTTGTGGTAATTAGTAGAAGGGATTTCTAGGCGAGTTAGGATGTGGGACAGCAGGACAAAAAAGCACACTGCATTCAAAGAAAGGTGCTTTCCAAGCAGTTAGTGGGATATAATCTGTCCCACTCTCAGCCCTTCCTTGGCAGTGAGAATCCCGTCCTTCCATGACGAGTTAGTTGCTCCTCTGTGGTCAGAGAGATCCCAGTCCCTCCAGCCCTGCAGAAACCCGCTCCTCTTCATCCAGACTGACAGCAGATCTGCAGTTCTTAATGCCATCTTCAGCCCAGGCATTAATGAAATGAAGCACCTGGTAAAGACTGTCCACGTAAGAGGCTTAGTGCTGAGCAGCTCCCTGCCCGAGCTCAGCCCCGGGACGCCTCCTGTTTACGCGCTGATTTAAAGGGCGCTGACGCATTAGGTGATCTGTCTTGGGACCTGTGACAAACAGGGTTCCTCTGGGCATGGGGCTATTCTGACAGAGCCGTCGCTGACCAGCTCTGTCACTTGTGAGGCGGGTGACTCATTCTGGCCTCTCGCAGAGGCCCAAATCAGTGGCCCGATTGATCAGGTCAAATCAGTGCCCAGTCTGAGGCAAATGCCAGGCAGGGGTGAGAGCTAACCCTGCATTTCTTGGGGGCTGTATTTTAAATGTGACCTCTGTGTGTGGAAGGGTGTGTGTCTTGAAATCCCCCATAGTGACTTCTCCCAGCTCTTCTGGAAGATTGGGGTATTAACCGAAGCTGGCTCAGGGCCAGTGCTGGTAATTACATTTTACCTCTTTGAAATCCCCCTGCAATTTTAATCAGGTGTAGTATTCCTCTCCGCAGTGTCTCGTTGCTTGCTGACTTGCAGTCCGGAGCAGATAACACCCCAGAACAGGCTGCACTTCAAGCAGCAGTGCTAAAATGCACCTTGCACTGCAGGAGTGTGGCAGGTAGTGCAGCCAATGGTGCTGGTGAGCTGTGGTGTTGTGATGGGGGGCAGGAATGGGCACGTCTTCATTACAGTGTCTTCTGGTTACCAGTAATTCAATCAGTGGTTAACATGATCTGCTTTAATCCAATAAAGACCTTATGGCCATGTTATGTTTACTAAAAATGATGGGGGTCACCCTTAATTCTGAGCTGTCACAGGCACTTTAAACAGGTAATAATGGCAAACAGAGGCCAGGCAGCCTTGCAGGGCAATGACTGAGCCCAGCTCTTCTGAATGGAAGAGAAATAGAAGTGTAATGAATTAAATGTCTGGCTGGGGAATTGCGCATCGGCAAGGTGCCAAGTCTTGTCCCATCTGGTGTCAGGGAAATCTTGGGTTTGATTGCAGAGGGAGCAGGATGCAGCTGAAAGGACAGACCTCGCAGAGGCTCGGAGCTCCTGTTCACCTCTCATCCCCCTATCCAAGGGGAATGAATGTGTGCAGATCCAGGTGTGGTGGGAGATGTGAAGGGCAGACCTTGAGGGGCAGGAGGGCTGTGTGAGATGGTTTCTATGGAAAATGGTGCCAGAAGGTCTTTGCAACAGAGCTTGGGAGGGAGAAGCCAGTGGGGGCTGAAGGCAGCTGGGTGCTGTGGTGTGAGTAATACAGCTACAAGGGGAGAGCATTAAGGGGATATAGCCAAGGATGCCTGGAGATGAGCTTGTTGCAAGGAATTTTGTATCGGTGAATCAGACTCCCGTGGGCGTGATGTGACTGTGACACTCTGGGAGAGAGCGGGACACGGGGAGGGTGGCTGCCTGTGGAAGTAGTCTGGTCTGTCCCTATAAAACAGATCCCGAGACAGTCTCAGAGCTTCAGAGGGCAGCTCTCCTCCTCCCGCAGGGCTGCCTGCTCTTGCCTGTGGTAGAGGTGCAGTATCCACGCACGCAGCGTCGCTGGGTATCCACAGGTTTTGCTTGTGGTCCAACCTACTCTGATCTCAGTGGAGCCTAGCAGGGAAGGAGCTGGTGGTGGGTGTCACTGCTGCCTGTTCCCTTCCCAGGCACCTTTCCCTGGCAGCTCCCTGCTCCCTCCCTGAAATCTGTTGAGTTGACGAAGCAGCCTGACGAATGTGGCATTTCAGCCAGCCGTGTAGCACCCATTTCCTTCAGTGCAAAGCCCTGCCTCACTTCTGCAGCGGCAGCATGAGTCACCTGAGTCAGTCTGGCCTCCCTGTTCCATGCTTGCTGCTTCTTGGGAGCCTCCACAGAACCTGGTGGGGATGGGAGTGGATAGGGCTGCTCTGGGATGGTGGGAAGCTCTGGGCTCCTGCAGGCCAAGGGTGGCCAGTTGTAGAGCATCTGCTGAAGGGAGAGGACAGCCAGGTGGGCCTGAGCGTTGTGGGTCTCACAGCTCCCTGGAGGAGAACTCCTGGCTGAAGGAGAACGGAAGCTAAATGTTGGAAGGAATCACTGGTGGGAAATGTTCTTTGAGTTGCTCTAGAGCTGTGGGAGGGAATTATTAAGGGAAGCATTGAGATTCCCCCAAAGAGGAAACTTCTAGCTCTGCTTTGCACACAGATGAATGACAGAAACCAGCTTTTCTGGAAGGCTCTTTGGGAAGAAAATTTTTAGGAATGGTTTTGTGGCTGGGATATTAGCAAGGAACTGTATGGGGTGCAAAAAATCTTTGGAATTGTTTAAGAGGCATGCAAACTAGAAGGTGAATATCTTAACAGATTGGATCTTCCAAAGTTGGGGAATACCTTCTCTTTGGAAGTGAGGCCATGGGAAGACAATTAGTAGCCAGAACAAAGTCCCCAGCTGGGAAGTTGGGAAGGAGAGGCTGAATTATTCTCCCTGAACCTCTTGACTTGGGAAGCAATTGAGTTGCCCTTGGGAGCTGAATTGTACAGAGCGCTCCTCATTTAAGGAGCACAAAGCAGCACAGCTGTGACCACAGCACCTTGAGTTTCAGCATTTTCCAGGCCAGTCTGCATTTTGCATCTTGCCCCATGTGCAAGGCGTGCAGCTGAGGAACTGTCCTTGCCAGGTTTGAGGGGAATTAATGTCATTGATAGGGGTCTTACCGAGCCAGGTGGGAGGAGGATGCTCCCGGATTAGCATGCAGGACATTGGGAAGCTGGTGGCAAACTGGGAATGCTAAATCAATTAGCAGTGAGCACAAGGGCTCCTGTGTCTGCTCCCACCTCGCCGGTGGAGGCGGCTGAGGTTTCGGCTCTCAGCTTCCGTGCGAAGCCGATGCCTTCTGGGGGAGCGTGGGCTGCATCTCCTGGGCCCCCAGCACCAGCGGGGGAGACAGCAGAGGCGTCAGACCCTCTTGTTCATGGGAGGTGACACGGCTGAACCACACGGCGCTTCTCCCCTTGGGCCCAGCGTGTCCGTGCAGGGCGCTCCGAGGGCAGGTTGGCTGCTTGACTGGGGAGGAGAGCTGACAGGGCAGGAGCAGCTCTGCCTCCCCTGGGACAGACCTCGGGCTGCTTTCTGCCCGGTCTGTCTCTCTGCTGTGCCCAGCTGCCAATTCTTGCTATTCTCCTGCTGGGGAGAAGTGTTGGGGAGAGAGGAGTGAGGAAAAACTGAGCGGTCTGTGAGCACACGAGATGGCAGAGTGGATCATTAGTCCTTTAAAATAATGTCCCATCTCATGGGGAAATGGGCATCTCCCTCCCTCCTGGTCTGTGGGTGCAGAGCAGGTCGGGCTCCTGCAGCTCCTGCTGAGGCCGGTGTGTTCAGCGCAAGCCCAGCAGCAGGAGCAGCACAAGAGACCAGGGAGAGGCATTAACCCTCCACCATCTGCTGGAAGAGGGTCCCAAACGAATGTCCTCAATCCTGCGACCCGTGGCCGTTCCTGCTGTTAACCAGCATCTGTCTAGCAAGGTGGCCACTTTTCCAGAGATACCGATGCATGTAACTGTTGGAGAAGACCTCCAGGAAGGCCAGCAGCAGAGGGACCATGGTCTTCCTCTGCCTTTGCAGGAGGTGATTCCTCTTGCTGCCTTGGCGGCCACCAAAAGAGCATCTTCAGGGAAGCAGCAGGGTACTGATAATCTCCTTTAATCCCCAGGATCCTCGGGCTGGATGGGTCTCAGGTTGGGTGCTCTCTAGTAAAACGCAGCAGCAAAGCAGATGTGCCCTGGAGAGGGGTCAGCCTGCGGTGGGCAGTGGGTCTCAGGCCTGTTTGCAGCCTGAGAGCTGCCAGGTGACAGCCCTGAAGGTTGGGGACACAGAGAGGAGCGAGGTGGTGGCATAAGGAAGCTGCTCGCTGCTCGAGAGGAGCATCCTTGTGCATCTGCTAGGGGTGCAGGGAGCCGCCTGCCTCTCTGCTCGGGAAGGATAGGAGGGGAGGGAAGGGGCTGGGTTGCCAGAGCAGCTCCCGTTGCCAGGGAATATCCAAGGCAATGGAAGTGTGTGTCTGTTTGGCACCCGCTACCGCAGCAGGAAGCGATGGGTTGGGTGGGATGGGGCTCTGGAGACCCCTCACATGTGTTTCTGAGGCATCCCGAGGGCTGCTGCCTCTGTGCTCAGTGGAGCATCTGCCCTGGCAGACAGGCAGAGGGATGGAGGCGTTGGGGATTTTAGACAGTTGCTTATTAAAAATGAAAAGCTGGGCAGGGTGCTCATTTCTAGCTGCAGAGGGACCCTCTCCCCTCCTTCTCTTGATCAGAATGTGCTGTGCTCATCTTGGGGAGAAAGGAATTAATTGGGATGCAAACCACTGAAACAGGCTGCTCGGACACAGGCAGTTCCTTCAGAAGGATGAAGACTGATCGATGCCTGCAGGAGCTCTCCAAGTTCCAGCTTAGTGTATCTGGCCTTACAGGTGCTCTCCGTATGGAAGAAGAACCCACATCCTGCCCTGACCTTTCATTTGTGGGGTGCATCTTCTCCTTCAGTGCCCCTTCATTGCAAAGGCACCTGCAACAAATGATGGTCAGAGCCACCAGGGGCTGAAAGTGGAGGGAGAGTGGGGTTGAATTTAGCTGCTTTCTCTGACCTGTTTCTCTGCAGCAAAGCTTCTCCTTAGTGTCCTGGCAATCCCATAATTCAGATATTTGAGAAGCCCTTTCTGCTGTGAAGTGCTGCACAAACCAAAGTCCTGCCTTTGAGATGCCCAGGTTGCTTTGGGCTTTGCTGCTCCTAGGGCCTGCCAGGGAGCAGGATCTGGTTTGCTGCCTGCTGTTCTTCTTCGCTAGTATCTCCCACTTTGCTAGTGGCTACCCCGTATCTGTCCAAACCCTTGGTAAATGAATCCCTGTGTCCGAGCCTGCTTTGTAGCACTGTAACCTCAAATTGAGGTGCAAAGTCTCAAGAGTGCGTGGAGGTGCAATTTGAGATGCAAAGTCTCGAGAGAAGTGTCTGTGACCTGGCTGGCAGGTCTGTGAAAACATCCTCAGCAAAGAACGAAGTGGAGAAGACCAATGTATGACTTATCTGTGGAGAAAAGGGGTTCACTGGGGTAGGGAGGGAGCTTAGGGGACCATGGGGTATCACTTGGGGCTGTTCCTGTTTTCTGTGGCATGTTCCACAGTGGCCTGCTGTGTATAATGGGGACAATTCCCAATCTTTTGGAACTGCCATGTATAGTGGGGACAATTCCCAGTCTTTTGGGACTCTTGCACACTTGGGATGTGACACCATGTCTTTTGGATCTCTTTTTAGACTACAGCTTCCCAGTTTCCTCTCCGAAGGCCTTGCCTAAAGGGAATGGGACGCAGGTGAAAGACGCCTGGGAAACGGCCACCTTGCAGCCACCGGCAGAGCCAGCCGAGCTGGAGTCGCGCACGCTGTTCTCCAGCACGCTGGAGGAGGACGAGGGGCTGCTCCCCATAGACCACTTGAAAGGCCCCGAGCTCCTGCAGCCCTCCGAGCCAAAGGACACGTCACCTGAGCCAGCGAGCCAAGAGGAGTCCTTGTTCTCCGACCTGTTTTCCACGTCCTCTGTAAGAGCAGCTGTGGTGACCGAGGCAGCCGTGGGAATTCAGGACGAGGACACTGCTCCTCTGGGCTCAGACCTTGGGAGCAGCATGGGGCCAGGCGTTCTGCCCATGTCATCTGTTTTCTCTGCTACTTCTGCTGCGAGGTCCCCTGGTGTTTCAGAAGAGCCCTTTGAGGTGACAACTGGGGACATGTGGGCTGTCGAGGGAGCAGATTTGGAGCCAACTGTGACCACCTCAAGAACGGAGCTCACAGAGCCTTCAGTGGAGCCTGGTGGGGAAGAACATTTGTCCAGAGAGGAGTTCCCAGAGACCACGGTGGGGTGGGAGATGCTAGAGCCCACGGAGCTACCTGAAACGGAGCAGACGCTGGAAACACCTGTGGGCACCCCCTCTCCCAGCAGCAGCTCCTTGGACACCCAGACATTTTCTGGTGGCGACCAGTACCCCAGTTTCTCCACAGCAACGTGGGTCACGTCTGAGGAGCCAGCCCTGGATCTTGCCTGGAACGACACAGAGTTGGCCACGGAGATGGTGGCAGGGGAGAGGAGCTTGTCCCCGCAGCCCGGGGACGCCCGCATGGCTGTGCTGCCCACAGAAATGCCCTGGAATTCACCACAGGTAGCGTGCGAGCGGTTGGGAGATTGCAATGGAGATCGTCGGGTGCTCATCTCTCAGGAAGTGTTTAACCCCCTTATTCTCCCACCCTCTATGTCCAGCCAGCTTAAATAACATTTTCTGCTCCCTCCTCCAGCCAGTATATTTTGAAGGCTTTTTCTTCTTTCCCAGTGCTTCTTAAGGGTATCTGTGATCCTTGGAGAAGGACTTGCCCACCTCCCATCTCCCCCCATGAACTGCTGCATAAAAATCCTGCTGCTAATAAATACTTGTCCTTTGGGGGCACAGAGAGCAGCAAAAGCTCCTTGTTTTCTCCGCCTGCGTTATTGGAAGTGTCAGGGCATAGATGGCCCCGAGGACCACTGGAAAGGGAGTGAGAAGCAAGTGCTATTTTTGCTGCTGCTGCTGTTAGCTGCCAGGACGTGATGCAGAGCATCTGGGAGGATGCTATTAAGGGGAATTGGTGGCTGGGGGAGATACAAGGTGAATGAATCTAGCAGACCATGGCTGGCTAAGTGTAGATAGGCAGGAGGAGCTGGCTGGTGGGAAGGTACCAGAGAAGGTTTCTTGTTTTGCTTCCTGTCCAAAGCACTTGGGATCCCAAGGAAGTGACTTAGTCCCTCTGTACTTGCTTGCAAAATACTGCCCTGTCTGACCAGGTTGTGTAGGGACCACAGAGGCTCCTGTTTAGGTTTTCTGCTGTGTTAAGCGCTGGTCATGTACAAAGGCTCCAGGCAAGAGAGAGCTTGCCAGTGAGCACCTGAGTCCTTTTGGCTGTAGGTGGAAGGTACAGCTGGGCAGTGGCGTGCTGGCACCATAGCCTTGTCCCTGCCCTGTGTGCTAGCACTGCAAGAAAAAGATCTTGTGTGTCAGCTTACAGATGGAAAGGTGAATGCCCCTGAGTGCAAAGAGCTAGAGGACAGTTATTTCCTTTGGGAAGCACCTCCTGGGAATGCAGGCCCCTTCCTTGTTCCCCTCCCTTGCATGTGCTGTGCTTTCAGCGGGAGAGCTGCATTCACTGCCCAAACTCAGCTGTCTTTATGCCTTGTCTTTCCAGGTAATCTGCAAAGACTGGAGCAACCTTGCAGGGAAAAACTACATCATCCTGAATATGTCGGATAACATTGACTGTGTAAGTCAGCCCAAAGAGACTTGATGGCGTGAGAAGAATAGCACTTAGAGATGCTGAGGCAGGCACGGCGCTCGCTGTGAGCTCTCAGTACAAAAAAAAAATAAAAAATAGAAGCACTAATTCTCAAAATCCCTACAGAGGTTGTACAGAGACGGGGGGTAGGACAGAAATATTCTCATTCCCCAAATAGGGAAAGAGTGGGCGGAGAGAGGCTTTTGCTCAGTCTAGCAGCATGAGTTCCAGATTGGGCTGTGTCACTCCTGGCTGCCTGTCTGTGCCAGTCTACCTGGGTTGTCGTGAGACTCAGGAACATTTAACATTGCACCTCTTACTCAGAGGCAACATCCCTCTTCCTTTCCCTTCTTTTTCCTCTCCTTTTAGGTTACAGTCATTTTCCTTTGATGGCTAAGGGAATAGAGATGCCCCATTTGCAGTGTGAAGGATCCAGTGTCAAGCAGCTATCGCTAAATCTTCCTTAAGTGCCCCATCCTGTTACCTTCTGTGTTATCTGGGTCTGTTAACCAGACATGCTCAGCTAATCCAATGTGTGTCCATCCATCCCCGCAACGCTGCAGTTAATTCATGAGCCCAAAGTCCCTCCTGCATCTCTGGTGGAAAGACCAGAGCTCATTCACCTCTGCTGAGCCTTTTATCAGACGCTGATATGAAAGGTGTAGGGTCAAGGTGCCTTTCATATTTCTGCAAAATGATTATGAGCCTGGCAGTGTGTGACTGAAATGTTGCACCAGGGAGCCCCGTTCTGCCCTCGGGTGTTTGCTCTCTTGCTCCTGCAGCTCCTGCACCAGGTTGAGCAGCCTGGTTTTGGTACTGCGGGGTGGTGTTTCCACTATTTCCCTATTTCCAGTACTGTTTTTTTTTGTTTGTTTGTTTTTCTCTAAGGCAGACTTCTGGGGACAAAGGAAGCAGGGAAATTGTTGCACATAAAGCGTGCTGACTATTTTAGAGAGAGAAAAAGTCAGTCTCTCTCCATTGGCCTGCTGGCTTTAAGCAGACCACTTTGCCCCTTGGGGAATTTTAAGCATCTCTGTTGCAATTTACAGTTGCAACTCGGGAAAGTAGTCCTTGAAAACCAGAATCCTGCTGCACTGTTTCCTCCATGTCCTAGTCGTCGTCGTTCTGCCTATCTCTGCAGTTTAAATGCTGTTAATTTTATAGTATGTGGTAGCTCCCTTCCTGTGGTTGTCTGCACTTGCCATGTTTTAAACCACTGGAATGGCGAGAGCTGCAAAACAGAAATGCAGATGTCTCTTGAAAAAAATTGCATCTTTGCTGTTGAATCCTCCATCCTGCCGTGCTGAAAGAAGACAGTGCCCTGGGATAGGCAGGACTGAACTGTTTTTCTACTTGATTTCATGTTTCAAAACGTGTTTCCAACTGAGTGATTCGTGCTGTCCTCCCCTTTATTCGAAGGGACACTTGTCAACATACATATTTAACGTGAACATTGCTTGCATTCCCTGCCTCCCGTTATCACTATGCATGACTGAAGCTGAAATCAAGCTCTTCTCCTTTCCACCCCTCTTGATGTAGTTTGTTTCCTACCAGTGACCCCCTGCCTGCCCCTTTTGCCCTATGGTTTATGTATCCCGAGCCTTTGCGGTTTGCATTTCTGGGGCTGCAAGGCAAAGTCTGCGTCGCCGGCGCTGTAGTTTAGGGTGAATGGGGATTTCTGGAATATTTCCTTTGTTTTGAAGCTCTGAGGTGATGCGTGACTGAGTCAAAAGGCAAGGGGCGATGAGGGGGCCGGGCTTGCAGAGCTCCGGTGTCCTTCAGGAGGAAGGCAAGGACCGCGGGGCCGGACCTGTGCGCGGCTCCCGGCCTCGCGGCACGGGGCGACCTCCACCTCGGCCCTTCAGGTGCCATCGTCGCAGCTCCCCCCTCTCCTCCAAGGATGATCCCTCAGCACTCCACAACCTCTGCTTCCCCATCACCAGAGGCATCTCCCTTCTGTCCCGCTCCAGGGCTGAGCTGCTCCCTATTCCTTTAAAATGGAGCCGCGGGCGGGCAGTGAGGCCCGGAGCGCCGTGAGACCTGCTGCCACGTCCTGTCCCGGCTCCTCCTGCCTCCCTGTGCTCTCCCACTGCCGAAAGCCGGATCCTGATGAGAGGCGGCACGGGCAGACCCTGCTCATTCGGGCCCCACTCATCGGTGTCTTTTCCAATTAGGCCGTTTTCGATTCAGGCCTGTTGCCTGCCCTGAGCGCTTCAAATTGCCATGGCAACAAGAGCTCTCCATTTTATTAATCATCTGTGTGGCCTTCAGGTTGGCATGGCAACGGGAGATAAGAATAGAAACGCAGGAGTGGGAACGCAGCAGAGGAGCCTGCCAGGGGATGGCTGGAGCGTGTCAGGCGGAGCGGCGCCCGCGGACCCGGCGCTGGGGAAAGCCTGGCGGAGCTGGGGAAGCCTGGCCGCTTCTCCTGCCTCTTTGCCACATGGCCTGGACCCTGCATCCCATCTGGGTGGTGTGGGGTGTGGGAGGAGATCAGTGTGTCGGGAGAACTGTGCGAGTCCTGGCTGGGGACGTGTGGGCGGAGGGTGTTGTGTTGGGTATGACGTGTCTGTGAGCAGGTGATGCTCATCCATGGGTCTCGGCTGCCATCACACAGTGGGGTTGTCACACCGTGGGGTGGTCACACGGTCACACCATGGGGTTGTGCGCCCATCGTGCACTCACTGAGGTCCTTTCCCTGTGGCAGGAGGAGTTTCGGCTGGAGAGGGGCCCCCAGCTGCTGGCGCTGGTGGAGGATGCCTTCTCCAGGCAGATGGACGGGTTGCAGGAGCGCTGGCTGATCTCGCTGAGCAAGCCCAATGAGAACGACAAGCACCTGCTGATGACGCTGGCGGGGGAGCAGGGTAGGTGCCGGCAGAAGGGGCTCTCTGGCGATGCAAAGGGTGGGCTGGTTTTAGGGGCCTTGCGGCAGAGATGCCCAGTTGGGTTGGAAGGAGCTTTTGCTCTCCAGTCTGCTTCAGTGTTGCCCATTCTCAGTGTGAGCTGAACTTAGGGAACGGAGGGGCACTGAGGACATGACCCTCTTGTCCTCATCTCCCTCCTGGCTTCTCGTTCATGGTTGGCACCAAACTCCCAACTTCTCTGCTCTGACTGCTGCTTTGCTCCTTCTTTGGACAGCCTTGGCACAAGCATCCTTCAGTTTTCTCCCCATGCTTGTGTGCTCCTTGGGGACAGGCCCTTGCCATGGCAGGACATGAAAACCTGCTCACAGTTCACTTGTGAACTTACCAGTTCATACCCTAATTCTCATCCAAACTGGACAAGACCTAATGGTGCTCTGGAGGCTGCTTATGTTGATGTTATGGCCTGTATAAAAAAAAAGAAAAGTGCTATTCAGAACTGGCCTGCAGGGGTAGGAAAACAGAGTGGTATTTGCTCCATCTGTGCTTTAAATCATACCAGTCCCAACTTTGTGAACGTTAGGTGTCTAATGTCAAACTTACATACCATCCTTCCCTTCGTGGAGAAGAAAGTCAGGTCTGAACTCCAGCAGCACAGCTGGGTTGGGGGATAACCCTGAGGGCAGAAACCTCAGGAGCTGAAGTGGCTTCTGCTCTAACAATCATGCTTGTGTTCAGTTCTTTCTGCTGCTGGGCTGAGGGAAAGGAAGGAGGGCTTCAGTTTTTATATCCTCCCTGCCTGGTCGGGGGCAGGGCAGGGAGGATGGATCACGCAGCAACAGCACCTGGCTCCATGATGTTTTGGCTGCTCCCAGAGCAGACACAGATCCTGAAACCTGCTGTGAATTTGAGAATGATACTAGGCACTTGCACCAATTCACCTCTGTTTCTTTTCCCTTTTTCAAGAATGTTTGGGGGTGTACTCTGCTACAATTCTTGCATTCTTTCAGCCTCCGAAGATAGTGTACCAAGTAACAAAAATCCCCAGCTATTCTCCTGCCTCTGTCCTGCAGTGAATATCAATGATGAGTACTTCTAACCAAGCTAGCCAGGTGTTGACAGCAGTGCTGATCTATCCTTTTCCTTCTCTCCAGGTGTCATCCCTACAAAAGATGTTCTCATGGCACTGGGGGATGTTAAGAGGAGCTTAGCTGAGGTAAGAGCCTTTGCTTGCATCCATTCTTTCAGGCTGGCTATGCAATTAAAATAAGCACCTACAAAACTGAGACCATATTTCAGTCTGAGTGCTGAACACACAAGAGGTGAACAGATGAGTCAGATGTTTGGCAAACTCCCTTCTCCCCTATTTGGTAGCTGCAGAATCATCAAATGTCATCTCCCATTAATACAGCAACTGTGTATTCTTCCCTTGCTGCTTCTCTGACTTGGTTTTGAAGCTGCATTTCATGCGTTCATGCTGTTGGGATCCTTGGTCTCTTCCCTTCTATGCCATTGCCTGTGGCCACGTCAGTGCCACAGAGCCTCAGATTCAGCCCCGCTCACCCTACAACTGACGTACTGAGGCTGGCAGGCTGCTTCCAGTCACTCAGCCTTTGCTGAATGGGCTAGAAGAAGTGCCTGTACTAGTCAGGACACATTCTCACACCTTTCCCCTGCAGCCCCAGGTGTCACTCCTTTCGCGTGTCCTCCATGAGGAAAGGCAGAGAAGCAGAAGCAACTGAGGCCAGACACCACTGCTTGCTGCCTCCGGTCCTCATGGATTCCCCTGTAGCCCTGGAGAGCCTGGGCAGGGGCAGAAACAAGGGCAGATTGGTTTTGTGGTCTCTGCTTGCTCCCTTCTGAGGTCTACCGGACGTGGAGACAACCTGGTTCTGCTCTTGCTTACACTGCTGGAGTAATTCTGCTGATTGAGCAGTGCAGATAGCAACAGAATTGGGCTGTTACCTTTCTGTCTGTCTGCTCTCGGGTTTTCCCCTGACCCAACAAATTGGTGCAGTTAGACAAAGCAAATTAAGTGCTCAGTGCAGTATTGATTGGCTTATACCTGAGAAAGTGCTAAGAGCCAACCGTGCACAAATTGTGTATCTGAAATAAAAGCAACTGGACCTGTCCAGAGAAGGATTCCTGTTGGCGCAAGGTTTGGCTGCTATGTGCAACCTGCATTAACATGCATCCTACCCCAGGAGCCTCGCTGCCTACCTCCAGCTCTCTATCAATAATGAAACACGGCTCATTGCATTGACCTTGCACTAGGAGGAGGAGGAGGAGGGGGATATTCTCTTACACTGTCATACTTGCTGTCAAATTGATCCATAACCTGTTTGAAATCTGCCAAGTCACTGGCAGCAATGTTCAGCTTTGTTTGCTGACACCCACAAGAGACCCATTTCTAAGGCAGCCATTCCCTAGGTTTTGGATCAACGCAGAGCTGTCTGCTCTAGGACCTCGGATGGACCACTGTGCTCTCATAAGTCCAAAGTTTTATTGGAAATCTATTTATGATACTTCCATTCTCTGTCTCAAAGTCACCAAGGGTCCCATCAAGCACCCATCAAGGGTCTGTAGTTTGGTTTGGAAGCTCTTCATTTTGGCCTATTTCCCTCTCAAAAGCATCTCTGCCTTGAATGTTGGTGTGATCCTTTTGCAGGCAGTCCAGGTGAATTTGTGCCCACTGTCACTTGCTGATATGTCAGGTGGAAGATCTTGGTGACCATGTGGAAGATATCAGGTGGATACCTTGTGGAAAATAGGATTCATTTAGTCATGTGCCTTCCAGTCATGTAAAACCTGCCTCCTGGCTTTTAGTTCCTCTGCCCATGGTGAGGAACCTGTGCTTGGACCCAGGAAAGTTCCTACCTCACCAGTGATTGCAAAGAAGCAGTTTTAATGTGCTTTTCTTGCTTCCAGATTGGCATCCAGAACTACTCAACCACCACAAGCTGCCAGTCGCACCCCAACCAGCCACGCAGCGATTATGGGAAACTCTTTGTGGTGCTGGTGATCATCGGCTCCATCTGTGCCATCATCATTGTCATGGGGCTCATCTACAACTGTTGGCAGAGACGCTTGCCCAAGATGAAGAACATGGTGAGCTGAGGGTGGGTGGGGAACACGTCTGGATTCTGATCTTTGGGATAGAGGGGCCTGGAGAGCTAAGAGGGAGAGCAGTTTTCCTGGTCTGCTGTCTGGACATTGCTGGGTACTTTGCTGGAGCAGCAAGGCAACCCCTGAGGCATAAGGAGATGCAACCCAGTGGTTCTTGCTGTGCTGAGGACAGCTTGTTTCCACCATGAGAGCTGGGCCAGGAGCAAATTCTCCTGTTACCTCTGACCCTGCGAAGTCCCCAGTGGCCCTTAAATCCTGGTTTGACTGTGTTCCCTGGCTGCCTGGGGACCTGTCCCACTCTGTCTCCATTTGTGCCCCTCTCTTCCCTTGCAGTCGCACGGCGAGGAGCTGCGCTTTGTTGAGAACGGCTGCCACGACAACCCCACCTTGGATGTGGCCAGCGACAGCCAGTCGGAAATGCAGGAGAAGAAGCCAAGCGTGAACGGTGGAAACACCATCAACGGCCCCGACAGCTGGGATGTCCTCATCAATAAGCAGGCGAGCGAGGAGGTGGATGTGTTCGAGGAAGACACGCATCTTTAAGAAAGCAAAGCGAGAGCCACCTCTTTAAATACATTTGTGTCTCTTCTATTTTGACTTACGAACCGTGGGAGCAGGGTGGCTGCTCAGGAACTTCTTAAAGGCTTGGGACAGGCCAAGGCTTGAGCTTGTTTTCATGCTGCAAGTCCTGAGTCCACGCGAGAGGCTTGGAGCCTGAAGGATCACTGAGGAGGGAAGTGGGAGGGGTGGGGGTGTAGGTCTGTGTGTGTGTTCCTATCAGTAGCACCAACGCTTTCATCACCTTTAAAATGCACTTACTGTAGCTCTCTGGTAGTGGCTGAGAGCGGCTGGGCTTGGGAAACAAGGCGGCGAGGCTGTGTCACGAGGAACCTGGCTTTGGGGAGAAAATTCACTTTGGGAGTCCGGCTGGGGTTACGGCAGCCAGGCTCTGACCTTGAGCTGAGATGGTGATCTGTCCCTGCAAAACCCGTGTCCCGCTCTGCATGTGGGCAGCCAAGCCTCAGCAGATACCCTGGGCAGAGAGTTTGAGTTCCACGTGTGCAGAGAGGTTTTCTAGTGCTCTAGCATTAGCTGCCAACTGGATGGGCTGATGTTTACATCTGGGGAAAGCATCCCCATGTGATCTCTTTTTTTTCCCCCCTTCTCACCCCCCAAAGCCCCCCACCCCTTCTCCAGTCCCACAGCTCCAAGCTGAGCTTGCAGAGTTTGAGCACTTTAACCTGTCCCGGTCTGCTTGGCTGACTGCAGAGAATTTGGTGCCATGGTGCAGCATCTTAGCTGGAAATCTGCTTTAGGCTGGAGAATTGCTCAAAAGGGACTTCTTACCTGCCTCCTTCACCTAACAGCCTGTGGAATCAGCAGCAAAGTACCCCTTGTTTGTGTCTTAGTTTTAGATCGGCGGGCCCTTCCCACTCCTATTGCATTTTCCAAGGTAGTTTCATTTCAGTTAGTCTTTTGAGGTGAATGTACAGCCTACACGAGCTTTCTAAACCGGAAGAAAAGCAAAATTTGAGAAACTCAGAAAAGTTTTCTGGTCCTTGTTTCCATTTCGGGAACCTGCCTTAGGCAGAAGTGTTTAATGTCACATTGGTGTAAATCATGGGTTACATCTTTAAAATTGCTGCATTTAAACAAGCGTAGAAGAGAGTTTAGGTGTGATCAGAATCAGATCTAAGAGCTCCCCAATGGCTGTTTTTCAGCCATGCCTCGGGCAACTTTGAGGCCCCAGCTCCCTGAGGATGTGTGATAAAAGGCACGTGAATACGCATAATTGTGCTCTGAGCCCTGCCTAAACTGAGACTCAGAACTACTCTCAAGCCTGAAATCCCAGGACATTTGTTTCTTCTGTCACGGAGGGATTGAGAGGCTCGCTTAGGTCAAAGGCAACAGTATTCCCTTCCGTTTATGATCAGCTGCTTGCTTGCTTTCTGCAAGATGCAGCCTTGTCTTTGGTCTTGAAGGGAATCTTTGTACAGAAGTACCCCGGATACGTGGCCTGATGCTTAGCCTGTAAATCTATCCCTGTATGTACAGATATTTTTAGCATGCTCATCCCTGATGTGAGTGCCTACCATCGAGAAACAGAAGAGTCTGTAGTTTCATTTTGCATAGCGCTTTGCATACAGACTGAACTGCAGATTATTTCTATGTAGGACCATATCGATATCAGTCTACTATGGATTCAAAGTGATAGCCTTTGGTTTTTCTATCCAGATTCCAATTTTGAGTGTTTCCGTCTGCCTCCATAGCTTTCCCTGCGTTATATAGGAGATATATCCCTCGGATCTTGTTTTATCTGTCGGTGGAGCTGCAGAGCCGCCCAAGAGCTCCCTGTCCTGCTGCAACAGGTGATGGGGCTGACTGGTGTGGGGGGGGACAAGGCAGCAATGCTCCCAGTGCCCTTCAGCACCAGCACTCTGCCCGACCTGGCTCTGCAGTGAACCCATGCGGTTCAGGAGCTGCCTTGATGGGGCTTCGGGGCTCCCAGAATTAAATGTAAGTGGTTGTTCTGACACGGTGAGTAATTTAAGGCATGGGGTTACATTTTGAGTTTGTATAGCACTTAGCATAGGCCTGGTATGGCTGGGGCCTTTAGACAGTTTCACCATATAAATGTTTATAAGTCAAGTAATCCACATGAAATACACTTTTAATACTTGGTGGCTATTAAGATAGATAAAGCCACCAATCAACTGTGAATTAGTTCACCCCCAAAACACTTCCTTGGTGCACTTCATTGCTAAGAGCTGCTTTGCTGCCCTCTTTTCTCTCCGCTTTACCAATTCAGAGAAACACCGAGGTGCTGCTAGTGCTTCCTGTGTCGCAGTTGGGCTCAGCACCTCCTGATCTGAAGTCTTCAAACTTTAAATAGGCTAAGGTGGCCATCCAGGCTCCTTAAAATGCAGTGCTGCCTCTTGAAGCTGTCAACTAGCAACTCCTGGTCTGCTGCTCTGGCTTACTCGGGCCCGATCGTATTCCAGAGACTGAAGTGCTTTCTTCTGAAGCTGGAGCACTCCAGGGTGTCTTCAGAGTGCCCAAGGGTGACTGTCACCAAGCTGAGAACAGTATTCTGATGTCTCGGACATGGTACGCTTGGCTGTATAATCTCAGTTTAGCTCCAGGAATCTACTGGTTAAGAGCATTTCATTTTAATATGGAGATACTTTTTATACCTTTTCCATTTGTTCCTCTTTGTATTATTATTTTTTTTTTGCACTAGGCTGATCTTGTTAAGTCAATTGCACTGTTGTCCCTATCCTGCAAACCCTGTGGCCGGGTCACCCCTGGGGAGCTGCGGGCTGGGAAGCGCTGCGGAGCCGGGCAATCCGGAGCCCGTTTGGCGCTGGGTCTGTCGTTCAGTGCTTGGTTTCCAGCTCTGCAGAGGAGAGGCGTTAAATGAGAAAGATAAACCTTATATTGTCATTTGTAACCGGAAGCTTTTCTATCACCTTAATGTAGTTGAACTTGTTTTTAACAAACGCTGTCAAAGCTGGACTTTTTGGAGGGGTGCGCCCGGCGCTGAGCAGACAGAAGACGGAAATTCCTGGAAAACGATTTCCCACCTCCTAGGACTTCAGTGTAGCCCCAATCTGCTCGACGTTGATCACACTGACACCTGGTGGCTGCTGGAGTTAGAGACAAAGAATAAATACGGACGTTTTCCCCTCCCTCTTAACTATGGATATTTATTTCCCTGTGATTTACCGGCTGCCGGGTTTATTCGCGCGGGGAGCTCGCGCGTCCCCTCTGCGAAGCACCGAGACCAACCGGTCCCACGAGTGCAGAGGCCTCGGAACGGGGCTGCCCTGTCCCCCTGCTTTCTCCTACATTTTTTCCCTAGTGGGAGAAAAAGGAATTTGGAGGCATCCAAGCGGGCATGGATGTGCTGCTGCAGCATGGAGCTCTGCGCCTGGGGGGCCTAAGGGGCCAAGGATGTTGGTCAGGGCAGTAGTGGGTCCCTGTCCCCATCGTGTGGGAGTCCCAGCTGCTCGGAGAGGGACCCCATGGACTCACAAAGACCCCAAACGGGGCTCCAGGCCGCCAGCTTGGCCTGACTGCGGGTCTAAAAGTGCCTCAATGTGGCCGGGGGAAGCAAGGGGTGTCCCGGCCTCCGGAGCTGGACCCCCGTGCCCCAGAGCACCCCGAGGGGCCGCCCCGGCCACGCGTGTCCCACAGCAGGGCTCTTCCCCCTCCCCAGGGCTCTGCCCCCTCCCCAAACGTGTCCCAGAGCGGGCTCTGCCCCTCCCCGGGGCTCTGCCCCCTCCCCAAACGTGTCCCAGTGCGGGCTCTGCCCCCTCCCCGGGGCTCTGCCCCCTCCCCAAACGTGTCCCAGAGCGGGCTCTGCCCCCTC